GTCATCAAATTTTCCAGTATAAAACTTTTTAGTTAAAAGTGAGGACAATGAAAGATGCTCAAAGTCCTCTATATTCTGTAAATGTCGAACAATTCGGTCTAGTGTCGTTGTGGAATCTTACATAGATAGGTAGCTGCTAAAGCATCCAAGTCCACTAAGTATTTGATGGAAGATGGAAATCCAGGTCGCCATGTCGTCTGCCTATTTACGACCGGATGTCCGGTATCTGTCGGTGGGTTCCACGCCCTTTGGATAGAATTTGCCATCACTTCATTCTCTTCGCTGTCTTTGTCCATACTATTTAGCTATTGATAGCTGATATAATCATGCGAGTTCTTCTCCCTTGAAGTCAATGGTCGGCAGCTATGGTTTATATAGTCAGGAAAACACTAGTTATTCGTAATACAGAAAGTTGATGCACGTGGTAATTGATCTGGCATAGGATTTCATGTCTAGAACCTGGGTCCAAATTGGAGCCGCATACAATATAACTAAGCTTATTGCTTGTGTGATAAGAAATGTTGTTTGGAACGGTGTCTTTTGAATTTATAGTAAGTTAAGCGTCGAATATTACGCCCATTATTCAGCTGTGGCTGTGAAATAAGCTCTCACACTCCTATGCTGAGCACTGTTCGTTCTTCCATTTTTCTGGTTATCTGTGGTTAAATATATGCTCTAGAGAGTACCCAAAGTGGTGCGTGCCAATTTATGACAGTGTCTGTTAGGCACATGATACTACATTCAGGAATATTTGAGTAGACTAGATCCAAGACGAAGATGGGAACTACATTTTCAGAAAAAAATTAAACTTTTCACTTAAATGAGCATTTTGTTTGTCGTTCATACACTACCAAAAAAGAAGATCTCACTCTTGCATATATCTACAGCTTAACAAATATACTTACCACCTTCGCATACATGCGCTTGTACATATGTATGTATGTATGTACATATGTAAGTGAATTTGCAGTTTTGGGCAGCGATATTTCGCATTCAATACTTTTCTATTCTGCGCTTGCAAAGCCTAAGCTGTCGCAGAAATGGATGTCTATACAGTGGGGCACAAGTATTCATACATACATATATGCATATTTGTATGTGTGCATGTGCGGACAAGTGCACATTTATGGAAGCCAGTTTCAGTTGCATTTGTATGCAGCTTTACAATAACCGAAATAATCCAACTTTGCCAGCAACACCACTACATAGAGCAACGCAATTTCATATTTCATCCTACAAAGCTTGTTGCACTGCCAGTTTCATTATCCCCAACCAGCAATACCGGAACCAGTTTGGTGCACACGAGTGTGCGTGTGTGCTTGGCGAAGAGTGTGCGATCTAAAAATAAAAAGAGACTCAACTGGTAAAGTACCCCCCTCCCCCCTCTCTGTGTGGTGCTGAGTGGTCAAAGGAGACTGTACACTTGTGTGGTGGTATGCGTTGACATCTGTACATTCATTTATACATACATATGTATATGAATATACCCGTAGAATATGTTGAAATATTTGTGTGTGTATAGCAGACTGTTGCATTGTAAAAGCCGAATTTGGTGTTCGAATTTCAGACACAACAAAATTTGCAGTACAGTTACAAAATTTGTATATCCACCCACACAACCAAGCACACACACACACGAGCGTAGAGATACGAAGCTTGCATACAAAAAATCGTTCTGAAATGCAGTCAAATGGAGGCAAATAAAAGTCAAATTCTGTCAGTCAACCAGGCGAAAAGGCATAGAAACGACAAGCAGGCCAAGTAAATGCAAACACACGCATGCACACACTCACTCACACGGCCGATCGGCTGAACACATGCCTATGTGAGTGCTTCAAAGCAAACAAACATACACACATACATATGTATATGTGAACATATATACGAGAGTATGTGAATGTGAGATAGAACGCAAAACACACGAACTGGGCAGCAGCGACTGCGGCTGGCACGATGGCGACGGTGGAACGCACGGGGACTGAAACGAACGATGTGGAGAGGAACTGAGTGCGCTTAATTTTTCAACGCACACATAGGCGATAAATCGTGCGCACCAACGCACACACATACATACATACATACAAACAAATATGCATTCGACTACACACACGCACAGCCATGCACACGAACGCAATTAAACGAGCGATTAAATGAAAGAGTCGCAAAGGCGAAACTGTTGACTGTGTGTTGCCAACGCGACGTGGAATGACATGGGGTGCGAAAACACTGACACGCAACACAACAACAACAATAAGCAGCGGCGAAATAGAATTAACACTGAAAAAAAGCAAAGCATATTTCCAAGATGGTCGCTAGCTGATGGCTGAGTGTCACGCAGCGCCTACCGGATGACCGCCGCTGCAGTGGTGTTAGTGTGCGCCGCGTCTGTGCGTGGGCCGCACGTCAACTGCGCGTAGTTCCAAAGGCGTTCACGCTTGCGACTGTGCTTATTTACGTATTTACATACTTATTCAAAAACAACATTCTTATGGTGAACAACGAAAATAGCGAGAATACAGCGAGAAAAAATGGTTCAACATACGTACACACACATACTTGCCCACGTAAAAGTTGTTTTGGGTCTGTATTCGCACGCACACACACAAACACCTAAATGGGCTGGCGAAAACTGGCTGACAAACTAACGCACACAGCGGCAAGGTTCGGCGATTTGCCTCACCAACACTAGCGCGCTGGCGACGTGCGACTACTGCACAGTGTTTTGTTTGGTGTTTTTATGGCAAAAATTATAAGGGAAATTTTAGTAAATAATAATGTTTGATAATTAGTATATATTAAGCGAGTTATTGTTTTAGAAATATTTTTGATGGTTTAAACCAAGAATTTGGTACATAATATAGATTTATTTTTGAATAATATATAAAATATATATAAAAGTGCCAGTTTTTTCTTCACTTTTCTAATTTATAAATTTAGACGCGTTTTTTCCAAAACTACTTTTTCAAATTCCATGTTCACTGACTACTTGACTACTTGACCGATTCATTTCATACTTTGTACATATTTTTAACAAATAAAATACCACCCACCATCGTTTAGTATTTTTTTACATTAGGGTGTTTTCCACCCACAAAATGGCGGAATTTTTTAGTGGAAAATAACAGGTTTCACTTTGAAGTGCTAAAAAAATGTAAATGCAAAAAAAATTATCAGAGAACGATGAGGAAGATTTGATTATAATTTTTCTTGAATTTTTAATTTCGGATAACTTTCAGCTGAGTTTTTTCTCAAGACGTTCTATGTTCTGGGAGAAGCTTTGTTATCTGGTTCAGTATTTCTGCATGAAAAAACTACCCTATATTGTCAAAAGTGTGCTCAGTAATGTACAAAAGGTCCGAATAAAATTACGCATTCCATGGTTTATATTTTACTGTGAGTACGAAACATCTAATATTATATATTACTGCTTAATCTTCAACTATAATATTTAAATGCGACTTTTTGGGTTATAAACAGTTATATACAGGTAGATATTAAAATACGTGGGCCTTGAGTCGAAAGTTTGGGCCACTTTTTTTAGTAAATAATAAAAAAAATATTCAAAAAATACATGAAAGCTACCAATATGGCAATTTTTTATGAAAATAAAACGACGTTTGTAGATTTTTACATAATTCAATTTTTTAGATGATTATTAATACTCATAAAAATATTAGAGTTATAGAAAATTTTAAGTTGTTTAAAATTACTTAAAAAATGTTTGCCGGCTTTAAAGTACTTCTAAATTTACAATGTTATTGCCGATACTGTAATTACTACCGACTGATTATCAGCTAGGGGTACAAATTGTGAGATTTAATTTGTTATTTATTCCCTTGAGTTTAGAAAAAGTATTCAATACTTTTTTACGGGATTTCAGTTTCTTTCAATTATCTGGACTAACAGAGCGAAAAAATATATAGAAAATTATTCATAGATGAAGCAAATATAAAAATAAAAGCAAAATAAATGTTGCTAGTTCAGAGAATTTGTCTTCGATTTTGATTTTATGAAAATAATAAAAGTACATAGCCTACATTCATATTGTGAATGTCCAATCATGTCAGCTCAAATAAACCACGGACCTTTTAGCATATCATTCGCAAAATTGTACCTCAGATTTGTTGAGTATTGGAATTTATAAACCCTAAATTACTTTACAAAGGTTATGCCATACCCTCTTAGCATTTTTATAGAATAAAGAGCAAATTTCAACGCTCTTTTGCAATTGCTTGTGTTTTGTGCAGTTATAACAACTTTTGAAACTCTACTAATTTTATTAAATTTTCTCTGAATTGTCTCTTTACTCATTATGAACGAATAAGAGCGTGAAATTTATGAAATTCGTATATGAAATTATTTAACGTATCTGATAAGTAGATACATATATACAAGGGTACATACAAAAATTATGTATGTAATATTTTTATCTTTCCAATGTAACTAACAATTCCTATACTAAAAATGCCGTATTGCTACTTTCTCTTCCTAACTGTAAAATATAAACTCAAAAATATTGATTAAATTGCAGCAAATAACATTTTTCTATTTATATTTTCACACCCGGGCATATTTTCTTATTATTTTTTAATATGAAGATTTATAAGATCCAACTTCTTATATTCCCATTCACTCGTACACTAATCCAATCCACTCGATTAAATGCTGTGCAAAATTTGCAGGATCTCTTATAAGTAAAATTATTTCGCACTCTCGCTCAATTCGACACACTGTGCAGCGTCAGCCTTGCTGAATTATGCGCCGGTGTGCGTGCGGCGAGTTGCCCGACTGCAAGTGTAGTGGTTACAATAGTCGCGCCTCGCTCGCATACACAACTGCTTCGCACATACATACAGTTGTGTGCCGATGTGTGTGCACGCCTTGTGATTGTGTGTGTGGGCATGTAAAAATCGTGAGTGCAGCTGTGTGCGTGCAAAATGCTGAAATCGAAACGAACGTGTGTGTTGCGCTCGTCGCTTTCGAGTTCAGTTCTCGTTTGTACTTGGTCGCGCGCGCGAGTGTGTGTTTTTAGTCAGAGGAAAACTTTTACAGGAAAATCAAGTGAAGTGCAAATATTTTTTTTTATAAATATATGAATTGTGCGCAGTCAGCGTACTAATACCGTTACGCAGATTAGCGGCCACAACATAAACCAAAACACAGGAATACTAATCGAACTGTCTCGCACGCCAAAAATCAAGTGAAAGTTTAAAGAGACAATAACAATAAAACAACTAGTGGCGCTAAAAATCAAGAAGCCCACTGGCGCTGGCAGTAGTGCTGGTGCCGTTGCCGTTGCTTGGGTCGCTGCATTGTTCGGCAGCGCATACAAGTGTATGTATGCACAAGTGTTCGTGCGTTTGTGGTTATGGTGCGTTTAATGCCAATGGCTGCAGCTAGATGGCGCTCGCGGCTGCTGTGTGCTTTAAAAGGCGCGAGCGAAGTCGGAATGTTTTTGTTTTTTTTTGTTTGCTATTTTCTACACTCGCGTGTTTTGATAAAAAATATAATGACTCTTCGAGCGCGCCGACTTTCTACGTGTTGTGCTCCCAAATATTCAGACAGAACAAGTGTATATTGTTGTTGTGCTGTACGCTAAGGCGCTGTGTGTGTGCTCAGTAGCGTTTGGCGCATATTTGCAATTGGGTTTCTTCTCGACTCAGCTGTGCTTGGCGCTCAAAGCGCTCGCGTCGCACCGCATTGCTTCCACGAATGCATGCACGGGAGATGTACGCGACGGCGCCGACGTCTGTAAGACAGCGCATACCCAACGGTACAATCTCACTGCTCGACGCCTTCGTTAATTCTAATAAATAAAAAAAAAACTCCGCGTCCATTTCAATCAAATAGCCATAAATCAGAAAACAAAAATACATTGTAAAAAAATTGTGAGCATAACACCAACAACAATGCCTTAAGCAACGGCACATCAAGTGTAATGCCAACAACAAACACACGCATACCGAAATGTAGTACAATAAAACAACGCATAGCGAGGAGAAGCGCGTTCGCCTTCTACCGAAGCGCTGCTGCTGCTTCGCTCGTGCTATGCTGTGCTTTTGTTGTCTCTTTTTGGTGCCGTAAATTGTTTTTTTTTCTACAACCTCACAAAAGCTATGCTGCAATAGCTGTTGCCTCTGCCTTTTCGTTGGTAGCGTCAGCTTTGTTGTTATTTTTTTTTATATTTCTTTTGCAAGTTTCGCATTGTTGTTTTTGTTTTGTTAGCCGAGAAGTGTTGGTTTATCGTTGGTGTAAGCGCTGACTTAGCGTGTGTGTGTATGTGTGTTTTGTAATTGGCCGCTGATTAGAAAAAGAAAAGAAAAACGTGCGGTATTTGAAATTTAGTTGTGACACAGTGGCTCCAAACATGTCAATGTTATTAATTTAAGCAAAACAGAATTTAGTGTTTTGAATAAAATTATTTTTATTTTATTAATTAAGCACAGAATTTTCATAAGAGGTGATATACATACATACATATGATATGTATGCATGTATGACCATTGAGCAAATTTTCGACTCTAAAGCTTAGGCCGGCCAAAGGAACTTAAAAGCCGCTTGTGTTTTTTTTTTTTTAATTATAAGTAACAGGGTCTAATAACAAACAAACATGTGTGCTCATTAATAAAAAAAAAAAAAATATAACCCACCATTCTCCCAAACAACGTTTAACTGGCAAAAATAATAACAAAAACAAAACTTCAGTAAAGTCTGTCAAAGGCATGAAATTATTTGATTAAATTTTTGGTTTACTGAAAAATTCAAAAATCTAACAATTCCAAAAAAATTAATAGTTTTATATTTTATATGTAGAAAAATGTGTAAGTCTAATTGCAAGGTAATTGCATAATAGCGTGAAGGCTACAGAACGCACAAAATCATCAGTTAAAAAATAGTGCAACTAAAATTTTAGTGAACTAAAAAGTGTCCGTTTAAAATTCCAAAATAAACCAACTTACAAATCAACTATACAAAACAGAAATCAGTAAAACACAAACAAGAAAATGGAGAACCCCCAGTCAACATTTGAATATTTGTGCCGTGTCTGCGCCGCCAACACGAAAGGCAAAAACTCCGTGGCCGAATGTGTTTATATACTGAAAACGCCAGCATTAAAGGATAAAATCGAGCGATATCTGTATTTGACGGTAAGCTTAGCATTTTTATATACAATCATACCCACCTACTTGCAAACATATTCACACGAAAATAAATAAATATGCGACTATTTCATTATAAATTGTGTTATGTAAACATGGATCGCGGAAAGTGTGGAAAAAATGTAAATAATGCAATTGTGTTGCTGTGTTGGGTTGCTCATACATTTGTATGTATGCATATGAGCGCATAGAGAGAGAGAGAGATGTCTTTGTGTATTAGTGACTGCTCTCCTGTTGCTTTTTTGTGTTGACAGTTGTGTATAGTGGAATTTTGTGAATGTGTGCAACATGTTCGATTTTTCCTTCCAATTAGAATGATCTCGGTTGTGATAGTATTGGGCGATGTGAGGTCAGGATAATGGACCAATTATTGTGCACAATGGAAAAATTATTGAACAGCAATTAACACATTAAAATATTCTCCATTAGTTGATAATAAATTTTTAAGATTTTTAAAGATAAGATTTTTATAATATTTTATATATTTGTTATATTATATCACCCTACAAATTTGATTTTGGGTTCTATATGGAGCTTTTAGTGTTGGAAAATTAATTTGGTACTTTACTGAGTGATGTTACATACATTGTTTGTCCCAAAAGTAATAAAACTGAGTCGATTTAAAAAAATTTATTGAACCAATCGTTACAATTATTTAAAAACTTTCAAAATAGACTCCTTCTACCGTCTCCGTAATAGCCTTGAGAGCCGAGTTGCATGGTGCTTGGATCCCCCACTGCGATGTCTTGTCGGACCTGATTGAGTCTCTTGAGGACTTCCACTTATAACTTAGCGTTGACGGTTTGTCCATGAAAATGAGGCAATGAGCATCGTTTTCACTGCGAATCCATTCATCCATTAGTAATTGTAACGGGTTTTTCAATAAGAGTGCTAAGAAAGTGTTTTCAAATAAAAAAAACGTTTTGGGACATCAATAAAATTCGGTTTATTCCAGTGAAAGTACATTGGATGCCATTATGTACAGAACTCGGTTTCTTTCGCATTGCCACCACGGGCATTCGTGCAGAAGTAGAGATGCTGAACCCAATTTCCGACGGTTTTCAAGCACAAATCGACCAATACTGCTGCAATTTCACGTTCGATTCGCTTCGTACGAAGTTCATCAATCGTCACCTGCTTGTTGGCGTAGACCATAGATTTAACGTGCCCCACAGCAGATACTCTAAGCTTCAAATCGCACGACCGAGGCTGCCAAGTCGTGTGATAAAACGTTCACCAAACTTGGTCTTCATTAAATCGTTTCTGACATTCGTTATGTGGCTTGTGGCGGTGTCTTGTTGGAACCACATATTGTCTAAGTCCATATCATCCAATTTGGGCCAAAAATTTTCGGTTTTTATTGAGTCCAATGACGTCGTAGGTCCATAAACTGCACCAAACCTTATTTTTTTCGGGATGCAATGGTGACTCATGGAGTACATGTGGATTGGTGTCTGACCAATAACGCTTATTAACGAAGTCATTCAACCAGAAATTAGCGCCATCGCTAAAGATGATATTCCGATGAAAATCCGGAGTATTTTCAAGTTGTTGCTCAGCCCAATTCACGAACATACGACGACTATGGTGGTCAAGCGGCTTCAGCTCTTGGGTCACTTTGATCTTGTAAGAATGTAAATCAAGATCTTTTCGCAAAATTCGTCACAACGACGTCACAGACATGCCCAACGCTTGAGAACGACATGTGAGAGACTGATTTAGGTCTTGCCTGTAGATTACAATTTTTCCACTAGACGATTAATTGTTGATCTGACAGGACGATTATGACCACCATAAATTGGACGTAACGCCTTTAAAGTTGAGGTAGTAAATTTTAATAATTTCGACTCATTGTTAGATCGTATATTTTTCCATGTTGAAATGACAAATCTTACCGAAGAAATATGTCAAAAGAGCGGGCAAAAATATGGATATTGAAAAACCTATTACTAAGTGGTACGAAATCGGCGATTCCGACAAATGAGCGGCTTCTTGGTGAGAAAACGGGACGGGTGACAAAATTTGGGATAACAATTTCAAAACGAGCATACCAAAGTCAACTCAGCTCGTCACGCTGATCACATATACATATACATATGTGCATATATACTTTACATGGTCTCTGGTCCTAATATACCCTGTTCAGGGTATAAAAACACATAAGAATGCACATACTCATATGTATTAATGGATTCTGGATCGTAGATGTTATGCCAGAAGCTTTCTGAAATGATAAAACATTAGGGTAGGATGAATTCCATCGATCACAGTCGGGCTACAACTCATATAGAGCCAATCTGAATTCCAACAATTTATTTTACCCTACACATTAACTACGGATAATCGAAATTGTTTTCTGATAGCATCTCATAACTGTGTTTCTTATCCACAAATCACTAATCTTATTAAAATTATTTGAGAGAATACATATAGTATATAAGATATAGAAAAACGCATACAAAAATAACTAGGGTCGGCACTTGAGGTTCTCCTATCTTCTATAGGTGCTATTCCCCTTCAAATTAGATAAAATTGGCCATGATTTACTAAGGACAAAAAGAAAAATGTCGAAGTGTTGTCTTCACCGAAAGCGCGATAATTAATGCCAGCATTTTTGCGCTTGTGTTAGTGAATTTTATGATGAGAAATAAATTGAACAAACGAGCAGATAACAAAAGAGAATTTTACAGCAAGTTGACCCATGTGACTAACATAGAAAACAGAAAAGCATTACCCAAGAAAATGCTGATAAAAATAAAATCAACAACAATAACAAACGCATCACAATCAGCTGGAATAACTTGTGCGATACACACAATCTTAGATTCTCATTTACGACACACACACACACACACACACAGGCGCAAGCAGAGGCTATGCACCTACACTAGTGTGCGTAAATCTCGTTTGACTGCACCTACACACACGCACCTAAAACTTGTAACGAAAAATTAAAAAGCAAATAAAATCGATTGTGATACTGGCACGAGTCGCAAAATTTCATGTGAGTGTGTGTATTAGTGCAATGTGTGGGTTTCAAGCCTAAAATGTAAGCAGAAGGGGAAAAGCAAAAAAAAAAGCAACACAAAAAGTACAGCACTTCAGATCTGAGAGCCAGCACTTCGCAACACTTCGTTTTTTTTAATTAAAAAATTATTTACTGTTAGCTTTCAAGCACTAGCATTGTTCTAGCTTTCGAAAACAGACTTCAGCACGCATACAACAAAATAAAATGAGTCACACACACAAACATACATACATATGCATATGCACATGTAATAACCGAACATAGAAGCAGAAAGCGTGATTCAGTGGAAAAGGCAATAAAACTACACACACACACACACCCATGCATAAATATCGTTTATTTATGTATGTATGTAGTACATATGTAAATAGGCATGTGTTTTGTTATTGTTGGAAAAATTCCATGCCTGACGCTGGCTAACGTTGTGTACACTCGCTCCGAGGCCTTAGAACATAGAATTTGTATTTAATTCGCTGCAAAGCTTTCAAAAGGTAAGATTGTGTATGTGTTAGTGCGTGCCTTGCCATACATACACTCATACAAATGCGCGATGTCGCTCGTGAGGCCCGTGTGTGGCAACGATCACAAGCCAAGTTGAGTTATCGGAATATTCAAATACTATACATACATACATATCTAAAATATAACACTTTTCTTTCGATTTGTGGATGTATTTTTCCAATTTCCAATTTCAAAAATTCAATATCGCCAGATTACAGGCCATCCTTAATATCCTTAGGCAGGGAGGCAATAGATGTGGGTTGCCGGAAAACGGCTGCATATGTATACATACATATACTGGCTTCCAGGCCGCAAGTGCGTTCATGGAAACGAAATAGCTGTTGAGATTGCCAAGAGTCAAGGGTGTCAGGAGGAAGTATCTTAATTAGTGATCAAGTCTCTTCTTAACTTCGCATAAAGCATTGACGCCCTGAACGCTTCAGCACGCATTAATAAGAAAGCTCCATCTTTCATAACTCCAATGTAACCTAATTAATGAAGCATCTCTTCATGGAACTTACGTTGGTGTTTCTGGCTCATTTCATTCTTTGTTGTCGTTTACCAGACCCGATAATATTCGACAGAATATAGCAGCCGTAGCTGAGAGTGTACCCGAAGACCATGGAGAGTCCATTCGATGCCGTTCGCAGCAACTTGACTGACGTATGAAACAACTTGGCGCATTTTACGTCGAGATCTAAAATTGAAAGCGAACAAAATACAGCTTGTGCAAGAACAAGCGACATCGCTTCCCTCTATGGGTTCTTAAAAAGTTCCAAGACATTCAAGTTTTGTCCCGCAATGAGGCTCATTTCTGGCTCAATGGTTTTCAACAAGACGTGTTTATTGAGATAACACTTCGGTGAACAAATAATTTCAATGAAACAAATAATTTTGTGCCGTTCGAGTGGTCACCAAGATCGTGTGATATCACACCGCTAGACTTTTTCCTGTGGGTATATGTACAGTCTAAAGTCTATGCGGACAACCTCCCTGCGATTCAGGCCTTGGAGCCAGTTACCAGTCGAAATGCTCTTTCGAATGAAAATAACCTTTCCTCCTCAATAAATTTGAAGTTTTGTGTTTTTTCTTTAAAAGGAAATGGGGAACCTCGAGATTTATAAACTTATTTCCTGTATATAGGGAACTTCTTGAGGCTTCTTTACGTCGACATAAAGTATTGTATGTGACGTCTTGTACTGTGTTTCGCGTAAAAAAGTGATTACAATTTTTCAGAAATGGACTAGTCCTGTTCCCCTTTATGCTTATCTATGTGTTTGTGTTTCTTAAGTTTATATGCATATATGATTACCTGTTAGTATATGCACTTACATACATATTCACATATGTTTCTCTATGTGTTTCTTCTCATATAAGTTGTTTGTATATTTTTTTTTTTTTTTGAATACAGTCTCAATGAAAACAGGTTAGCAGCGTTCAAATGTTGCACAGATTCTTTATTGCTATTCTCTCCTTATATGCTTCTAAGTAGCCAGAGGCGCTGAAAATTGGCAGTCACTGACAAAGTTGCGCTTTTGCAATGTCAATACGTTTTTTACAAAATTCGCGCGTAGATATTGCGTCTATAATACAAATTTACGACCGCCTGTTATATGTGAGAGCGTGATGAGTGAGCGCACTAATACATATTTACAAGCTAGTAAGAGAGCTACATATATACATATGTGCATACGTATGTATGCACACACATATTTCTTACATTGAGAAAAATAAAATGAAAAGAAGAAAAAATTTGAGATTAGGCTGCACCGAAGCCATAACACCCTGCACAAATAAAAAAAGTTTTCCAAGCGAGAACTAAATATATTGATCGGCCAGTTGATAAGGCAGCTGTATACTACAGTAGTCCGATATATGGGGGGTTAGACAAATGAGCAGCTTCTTGGGGATAGGGATGGTGCAATTTCAGATCGATGTTTCAAAACTGAGGGACTAGTTCTTAAATATAGAGACAGACGCGCATGGCTCAATCGACTTAGCTGGTCACATTGATAATTTCTGTATGTACATAATTTTGGATCTCCGAAGTTTCCTTCTTGGTGGGCGATGCCTTTGATGTCAAAAAGACAATGCTTATCCTTTTCACTTTGGATTTGCTCAGTCTTCCGTTCTTCATCAGCGGCCTCTTCCTGGCTCTCCCAAAGGTCTTGTGCCACCGAAACGCACCACTTCTTGCTAGAGCAACATCTGGGTAAGATTGCTTGATAATATCAAACGTCTATGTCGCAGATTTGCCAAGTTTCACTCAGAATTTAATCGCGTACCTCTGCTGTAACGCACGCTGCATTTTCGGTTTGCATCACTCACAGAAACACACCGCGTCGACAACTGACCAACCGCTCATTCGTTAGCTACGAACGCCCTTTACCGAATCCAGTCGGTGTACTCCGAAGTACAGTCCCGGAGGAAGAAAATCAGTTCTATTACTTTCCGGACAAACGCTCTAAATGAAGTATTGTATGCCATGACATTGACTAAATTTTTAAAGAGACGGGATTTGGGGACATTTAACTTAACCTTGTATCATACATATTATACATGCACGAACAAGCTTTAATTTTCTTGATTTTTTTTCGTGAATAAAGTCCAATAACTAATCAACTGAATTTCAATTTACAGATTTCAGAAGAGGATATACTACCGAAGGTGTTATGCAAGGCTTGTTTCCGCCAAGTAGAAGCCACTGCGTCACTGTCCAAAATCGCCAAGCACACACAAAAGGTTTTCCGTGATTTCATCTTCAATACAAAGGTGTGTTGCTAGCACATGATAATACAAAACCCATCATCGCACTCACACTAATTAATGGTATTTTATTCCTTTAGTCATGTCTGCAAGCTGAAAGCAGTGAAAGCACCAACCCCACCAATAAAGCTCCCGCATCCAAGTCGCCAAAAGAATGTACGTCTGGCGCTCAAGTACCGGAGAGACCGAAACCGAGGGAGCGCGAGAAGTTGGTTGTGCAGAGCGCTGAATCCACACCGCCAGCATCACTGCCCGCATCGTCGACATGTTCCCACAAAGACGAAGTCGTCCTAAATGTGTCTGTCAACGATCCGCTGACACGTGAAACCCAACACAAGATGATAACAGCATCGCGACGTCAGAATTCGCTGGACGCGCGTTTCACACCGAAATCTATAGCACAACGTGGCTTTGCCAGCACGCCGAAGCAGACAGAAGCTGCTGCGCCCACTAAGAAACCCACCACGTCGGGTGTTATAAATTTCTTCCCCAATCGACAACAGCAAGTAACGACAGTCACTAGTGGTGGATACGTAATTGGTTGTGCACCTGAAACCGTGCCCACCAGCAAAGGTACAGCCGAACAGCCTACCAAAAACGCCAATACTTTGCAGCAGAAGCGTAAAAATCTCAAAAATGCACTAAACAATATCAAAGCGGTTAATGCTGGACAAGTTTCCCTACTGAAGGTCTCACAAAAGCTCGGTCAAAATGCACCGGGTAGCCAACCACAAACGAAAACTGTCGAGCCGCCAACTTTGTTGGTGGAAGATGATGTACCAGCAGAGCCGCTTCCAGAGAAGATGATAATTGCCGCAACAAAGCAACAGAAACATCAAGTACAAGTTGCACCTCAGTCCACCCCACATATCGAACCAACATCCGAGCCACAAATACAATCGGAACCGACCGATTTGTCACAGTCGGCCAGACCCAGTATTCCCGATGACATCTTGCTCGGTAAAGTAATCAAAGATGGAGATCTGCTCAAACTCATATTAAAAGCACTGAAATGGCCGGTAAATAAAAACACAATGGAGTCGCAATTGGAGCGTTTGCGTAACTCACGATTTGCCATCATAATGGCGGATCCGAATCTGCTGCAAGACGCCGATCTTACACAAATAATGGGTCCCTATTTGGGCCCTGTTTTGCAGGCGGCACAAATGTTGCAACAGCAACAGGTAGCAGCAGCAGCTGCGGCAGCTGCAGCAGTCACCAAAGAAACCGAGTTACAAGTGGCAAGCATAACAACAGCGTTGCCGTACAAACTGCCGGCAGAGACTTCAGTTCAGTTAGTGCCAGCAAGCCCAGAAGAAGAAGCAGAAGTATCCGACGTCACACCGAAGGCAAGCGCTTCGAACCAATCATTGAAGCGAGACGCCGAGAATGATAATATTAAATTAGCACCGCCCAGAAAGATGCGAAAGGTGTCGGCACGTGGACGCAGCGCGTCGATATTTAACAGCGATGAATACGCAGCTCTGAATTCTACACTCAATTCGCAATATTTGAATTCCAAGTCGACACCCGACATGCACGTCGATCTCGATCCAACGGCATTATTTACACATTTGAACATGCTAAGCGGTCTCAGTGCCACCAGCTCGAATGATGCCTTGCTGGCACTGCTACAACGGCAACGTGCCGCTCTTAGCCGCATGCAGCAGTCCCAGTCACAACCACAGCCCAGACGCCAGCGTAGCAACTCGATTATTACAGTGCCGGCCAGCGGAAGTGACTTTGTTTTCGATACAGATGACATTATATTGATGGAACCGGATGATTGCACTGAAAGCACAACAACAAACTTGCAAAATAATGGCGATGGAAACGCGGGTAGTTCCTCGAGTCTATCACAAACCGAGTCCGTCACCTTTCCAGTGCCACAACAGGTATCCAAACCAATGATAACACGTCCAATTATAAAACGTCGCAAAACCGTTATACAGGCTTCACCAGCGCGCTTGAATCTTGCCATAAACACTAAGGAAGTAACACCTGTAACCTCAACACTAACCGAAAGCGTAGCATACACTGCCACAACGACAAAATTGGCGGCGGGCTCTTCCAATGTATTACAACCGACAGCAGCGCCGCCAAAGAAACCCTCCAAGACGCAATCCCTCGACAGCCTCAACACAATTGCCACCCAATTCCCATCCAACATCATCTCAATTGGCACACAAGTACCATCAAACACAACGAATGCGAGCGAAGTCGCACCAACCGCAATTGTAACTAAAGCAACGGAGACTATGCTGACACCTACGGCAGCGACGGCTACCAGTGTGTCTTCGCTGGCGGGAAGCAATACAACCAGTACGACCAAGGCTGTCCCAACGAATGCTGCCGCAACCGGCAGGACGACTACGCGTAACAGTAACACAGTTAAAAGACAAACCTCTAGCAAATCTGCGCTTGGCCAACAGTTACTGGAAGCGATCGGACTGCAGAAGGTCGCAGCGGAGAATAAAGATGTCGCTGTGGTGTCGGCAACCACACCAGCGCCGCGTGGTTCTGTACAGCAAATACGCAGCGCCTTGAAAAAGTCATTGCAGAAAGCACAGGAGCAACAGCAGCAGCGCAGCAAAAAAGTTGAGGATAATTCTGAAGAGACAGTGAATGTGGTGAAGGAAGTAGTGGTTCAACCACGCGCTAAACCAGCGTCCAACACACCGGCCGGTCCACTAGATGTGGAGGAGGAGATCAATAAAATCACATTGGTATTGCAGAGCAAAGCCAAGGAAGATAAGAAAATCGAAGAGGCAGACAAACGACTGACCGCGGCGGCGCCAAGCAGAATCCCTGGCATCAGACGAAAACTATTGCCGCCCACACGCAATCGCAAGTCCACAGTTACACTTGTGGCAGATGAAATAGTTGATCTCATCGACGACGAAGAAAATCAGGATGCAGCTGAGGGCAAAAGTGTCGCCAAAAATAAGGGCAAAGACAAGGATTTACTGTAAGTAAAATTGTGGTTAAAAAGATATCTGTAGTTAATAACGACTGCTTTTCTTTGCCTTTACAGCTCCACAAATGCGGAACAGGAAGAAACTGATGTCTACCTAACAGCCACATCCTTAGCCTCGTTACAGCGCGTACACAAAGCTGGAGTTAGGGATGCAAAGAGTACATCACCAACGCGTAGACGTGGTAGAAAATTGAAAGAGGAAATTGAGTTAGAGGAAGATGAGGACGACGACGATGACGATGACAAGCCGTTGAAGCCCAAAAGTGAAAAGAACGGCGGCGAAAAGCAAGAACCTGAAATGCGAAGCCGTACGCCGGCACCACGTCAACGCAGCCGACCACCGCCGGCGAATGGACGCAAAGCGCCCAGTGAGCGTGACTTCGAAAAGGAAAGCGACGACACGGCGAGCGTCAAGAATGACAACGAAAGCACCACCAGCACAGTGTAAGTTGAATTTAAGCATAACTTTTGTCTGCCTGAGTCACTTAAATAACTGTTATGTTTTTAGTGTCAGCACGCGGCCATCACGCGTCAGCAAAACGATGTCTAAATATTACAAAGGTCCAGATAAATCGCCCGGCACACCGCGACGATCTGCAGTCTCGACGCGCAGCAATAGGGGGAGGTGAGATTTTTTTCGAGAAATTTTATTAATTTTTATTTTAAAATATTTGTTTAAAATATTTTTTAATTTTTCAGAAGTTAAGTCATCCCTTAAGCGGTTCTTTGTGTGTAACACAATTAGAGAATGGGTTCTCTTATCAGCGGCAGTGAATTATTCTTATATTAAGCCGAATTCCACGCTAAGCGCTGAGTAATCATATTTCTATTTATGTTACGTTATGGTTTACGTATATTTTTCTTCTGTATACAATTTTTCTCTCATATAAAGCTTATTTTTTTCCTTTTTGTGTATATAACGTATATAAATATATATA